CGAGGTCATGCATTAGGTTGTTTATAATTTTAGGTGTGTAATTTTTTATTTCAGGCCACCAGACCAGTGCAGAGTCCTGGGGTACAGGAAGAGCTGTGGCCCGTATCCCTCGTGTGAGAGGTGGTGGTACTCACCGCTCTGGCCAGGGTGCTTTTGGAAATGTATCCTTTGACCAAAATTGAAGCGTTACATATTTTCTGTCTTTACAAATCTCTAACAACTAGAATGGACACAAATGACTTGCAGTGATGGTGTAATTTGCGACTGACTCTGTGACCAGTGACAGAATGCCTGCTGTCATATGCTGGCACAGATGCTTGACGAACATTGAGTCTGAGCAGGTATTGTGTAAAAGTAATTATGCTGCTTCAGTTGTTGTCAAACCTCCTTAACTTTAGCCTAGATGTGTCGTGGAGGTCGCATGTTTGCCCCCACCAAAACTTGGCGCCGCTGGCACCGCAGAATCAACACAACCCAGAAGCGCTATGCCATCTGCTCTGCTGTGGCTGCCTCTGCCATCCCTGCCCTTGTGATGTCCAAAGGTAAGCTCCACAAACTATATTAATACAAAGAAAAATGGGTGAAGTGTTAAAAATATTTTCATTAACATTTCTAACCTACTGTATAATTGTCTTGCTATGATGGTGTAATTTGCGTCTGATCCTGTGAACAGTGACAGTTGCCTGCTGTCTTTAAGCTGTCACAAGGTATTGATGTATAGTAAATTCTGAGCAAGGTTAGGCAGCACTGTAGTTTGTGACCGACACAAGAAGTTTGTGTGTGGACACCTTTTGAGACGATAATCTTGTCTTATAGGACACCGCATTGAGGAAATCCCTGAAGTCCCACTGGTGGTTGAAGACAAAGTCGAGGGCTACAAGAAGACCAAGGAGGCAGTGCTGCTGCTGAAGAAGCTTAAAGCTTGGAACGACATCAAGAAGGTAATTTAACATTTTGAGTTTCTCTAGTTGCTTGACTCAGTACTCCATTTGGGATTTCAATGGAAAGAGATGATTTTAGCTTTAAGGATGGTTGATGGTTCTTTTATCTATTGTGTGGGGAGTGTAGGAATCACAGCTGTTGTTATACATAGTCTCCTAAATCTAGAAGGACTTATGTGGGTTTTACTCAATTTGAAGTAAAGATGGAAAGCAAAGAAGTGAGAATGCTGCAGCACAGGCAGAGTAAAGCATGATGATGCTTAGCATCTGTTAATCTGATTCATATGTATATGAAGTGTAGCAGCGAGACCTCAGACTGAACTTGTTACTTTCTGTAGGATTAAATGGAACAGTTTCTCTGCCTGTGATAACTTCTAAGGTGTAAGATATTTATAGGTATTACCAGGTTTCTTTGTCTTATGGTGTGATGGAATAATATAAACTTCTTTATTCTCAGGTCTACGCCTCTCAGCGCATGCGTGCTGGTAAGGGTAAGATGAGGAATCGCAGACGGATCCAACGCAGAGGTCCATGCATCATTTACAACCAGGACGCCGGTGTCACCAAAGCCTTCAGAAATATCCCAGGTGTGTAGTTTATACAGTTGTAGAATTCGTAACTCGTAGGTAAATGGATGTCAGAACATAAGCTATATAGTGTTAATCTTAAATACTAAATGTTAAGTGCATGTGCAGTGGGTATTACAAACTTAGACATATGTAGTAACACTGCTGTCCTTAACTTTAAATGGCATATGGGTGATTGATTATTATTGTGTTGTGCTTTAAAGGCATCACTCTGCAGAACGTGAACAAACTGAACCTCCTGAGGCTCGCTCCTGGTGGTCATGTTGGACGCTTCTGCATCTGGACTGAGAGTGCTTTCCGCAAGCTGGATGAGCTGTATGGCACCTGGCGCAAACCTGCTTCCCTCAAGGTTGGCTACAAGTAAGTGTTTCAGGAGCAATCACACTGTTGCACATGTACATCTGTTGGTCACATCAGTGATGAGCTTCCACTTCATGGTCCGTGTTTTTGATACTGTGTGATATTTAACGAAGTTCTGAGTTTGAGCATCAAAAGACTCATCAGTCAACTATTCATCATCTCCAACATGAGGAATTGATTATATATTATATAATGCTTTATTTATTCCAGCCTGCCCATGCACAAGATGACCAACACAGATCTGAGCAGGATTCTGAAGAGTGAGGAGATCCAGAAAGCACTTCGTGCACCTAAGTACGTACTGCACACTTTTGAGTTCTTGAAAACATTTTTTTAGATGGTCAACTATGATGATTTTCCCACTTCAGGTCCGTGTTTCTGAATCCTGATTATATGGAAGTCCTGAGCAACACACATTTCAAGTTTGTAATACACTTGAGCAGAAGTTTACTTTGTTAAGCCTGGGTTATATTGTCATTACAGCAAGAAGATTAACCGCAGAGTACTGAAGAAGAATCCTCTGAAGAACTTGAGGATAATGCTCAAACTGAACCCTTACGCCAAGACTGCAAGACGTCATGCCATCCTCCAGCATGACCCTGCGGTAAGAATTAAAATAATTCAAGCTGGGAGCAAAAATCATAGACTTACTGTGTTGATTATGACTCTGATATCTTGTTTGTTCTCTCCGTAGATCAAGGCCAAGATGCTGAAACCCAAGAAGAAGCCTGGAAAGAAAGGTGCACCTGCCAAACCCAAGGCATAAAACTCTATACTTGCAGACAAGAGTTCAGTGATAAATAAATCATCTGTTTCAAATAATTAAGTCTAATCAGTCATTTTTTTAAATTTTGATTCACAAGACTTATTTATTTCACATAAGGTAACAAAAAGATTACAAAAATGTAGGAAGTGAGAATACTGCTAAATATGAACACCAACTCTTTCAGGTCTGCTCTCTATGCAGGATTCTTGATCAAACTGCAATGGACAGACAAATCTTTTTTATAATGTAAGGTCTTAACACCACTAGGTGGCTTTGAAGGGTATATTCCACTTGTTTGACACTAGTAGAAAATTCTACGTACCATTTGTTCACAAAGTCTCGAAATTCAGGGCTAAATATCCCGGGCAGCTTTGGTGGAGGCTGAAATTCAAAGGTCCTGTCAGCACTGGATGGGTCAAACTCAATGCTCAAATAGCTGGCAAAGGTATTAAAACAATATACACTGGTATATACAGGTATGTTTATGTTCGGATGTGGTCAAATAATGGGCTCACCTACCTCATTGACTAATCAAGCAGCTCAAATATAGCCATCTGTGTTCTGCTGTCAGGACCATATGCTGCAGGGAAAAATATTGATCAGCCTCTCATTATTCAGTTACCTCTGCACTAATTATTACTCAGAGTCCACTTATTTGTTGTAAACAATTATAATAGACCCTTTGAAATATTGTCTGTCAGAGCTGCTTTAATCTAAAACAAAAAGCCACCGCAGAATGACAGTATGAACCAGCATCATCTCAGACTTACAGCAAGCAAGGTGGTTGAAGACAAAGTTGAGGGCTACAAGAAGACCAAGGAGGCAGTGCTGCTGCTGAAGAAGCTTAAAGTCTAGAATGACATCAAGAAGGTAATCTTAACAGTTTCAGTTTGTCTAGTTGCTTGACTCAGTACTCCATTAGGGAACAATGTTTGAATAGAAAGTGATTATTGTAGCCTAAAGGATCTTTTTGTTCCTATCTGTATTATGTGGAGTAGCAATTGTAGCTCTTTATACACAGTCTCCACAATCCAGGAGGAGTCTCGAGCAGGTTTATTCACCTGAAGTAAAGATGGAAAGCAAATAACTATGAATGCTGCAGCACAGTTTGAGTAAAGCATGATGATGCCAAGCATCTGTTAATCTGATTCATATGTATGATATGGAGTGTAGCAGTAAGACCCCAGACTGAACTTGTTACTTTCTGTAGGATTAATTGGAACAGTTTCTCTGCCTGTGATAACTGCTTAAGTGTAGGATATTTATAGGTATTGCCAGTTTTTTTTATTTGTTATGGTGTTACGAAATAATAGAAGCTTCTGTTCCTAGGTCTATGCCTGTCAGCGCGTGCGTGCTGGTAAGGGTAAGATGAGGAATCGCAGACGGATTCTGAGGCTCGCCCCTTGTGGTCATGTTGGACGCTTCTGCATCTGGACTGAGAGTGCTTTCCGCAAGCTGGATGAGCTGTATGGCACCTGGCGCAAACCTGCTTCCCTCAAGGTTGGCTACAAGTAAGTGTTTCAGGAGCAATCACACTGTTGCACATGTACATCTGTTGGTCACATCAGTGATGAGCTTCCACTTCATGGTCCGTGTTTTTGATACTGTGTGATATTTAACGAAGTTCTGAGTTTGAGCATCAAAAGACTCATCAGTCAACTATTCATCATCTCCAACATGAGGAATTGATTATATATTATATAATGCTTTATTTATTCCAGCCTGCCCATGCACAAGATGACCAACACAGATCTGAGCAGGATTCTGAAGAGTGAGGAGATCCAGAAAGCACTTCGTGCACCTAAGTACGTACTGCACACTTTTGAGTTCTTGAAAACATTTTTTTAGATGGTCAACTATGATGATTTTCCCACTTCAGGTCCGTGTTTCTGAATCCTGATTATATGGAAGTCCTGAGCAACACACATTTCAAGTTTGTAATACACTTGAGCAGAAGTTTCCTTTAAGCCTGGGTTATATTGTCATTACAGCAAGAAGATCAACCGCAGAGTACTGAAGAAGAATCCTCTGAAGAACTTGAGGATAATGCTCAAACTGAACCCTTACACCAAGACTGCAAGACGTCATGCCATCCTCCAGCATGACCCTGCGGTAAGAATTAAAATAATTCAAGCTGGGAGCAAAAATCATAGACTTACTGTGTTGATTATGACTCTGATATCTTGTTTGTTCTCTCCGTAGATCAAGGCCAAGATGCTGAAACCCAAGAAGAAGCCTGGAAAGAAAGGTGCACCTGCCAAACCCAAGGCATAAAATTCTATACTTGCAGACAAGAGTTCAGTGATAAATAAATCATCTGTTTCAAATAATTGAGTCTAATCAGTCATTTTTAAATTTTGATTCACAAGACTTATTTATTTCACATAAGCTAACAAAGACTTTTTGTTGGCGCTGTAAGAACACAAGGCAAAGAGAAATATCAAGCACACAGGTTGAGCAGCATTTGTCATGATTAAATAATTTGATCATTAGAAAAAGATGGCTTTTCAGGCAGGCCTGCAACGTAGCCCAAAGACTTGTTCAATACATAGTTAATTTCACTTGGCATGTAGGTTTGTACACTAAATATACAACTATTGATTGCACAACTTTTGAACCCATGTAGTACTCAGTATAAATACATATCACCCATAATACAAACCCAGTCACCAGAGGACCTTGGGATATGGGGTTTGTTGTAGACACAACAGGCCTCACATTGCTGTGCCGTGGGTGGGAGTCAGAGGCTGATTGAGTCCAATGGTGCTGCACAACCAACCAGCAAAGTCAACCTGCTCTGCCTCCGACTGTTTGATGAAAGGATGCACCTGAGGAAAAAGAGAGGCGTGTAAGATGGCTAAAAAGATAAAGAAAAATTTAGGGAGAATACTGTAAAGTATGAACACTCACCATCAACTGTTTGAGGTCTGCTCTCTCTGCAGGATTCTTAATCAAACTGCAATGGAGACAAACCTTTTTTAGAATGTAATATCTTTTAATGCCACTAGGTGGCAGACAGTCTGAAGGGGATATTCCATTTGTGTTTGATGCCAGTGAAAATTTCTCCTACATACCATTTGTTGACAAAGTCTTGAAATTCAGGGCTAAATATCCCAGGCAGCTTTGGTGGAGGCTGAAATTTAAAGGTCCTGTCAGAAATGCTCAAATTGCTGGCAAATGTATCACAACAACATACACTGATATACAGGTATGTTCATGTTGGGATGAGATCATAAAATGGGCACACTTACCTCATTGACTATGTAATCAAGCAGCTCAAATATGGCCATTGGTGGTCTGCTGTCAGGACCATATGCTGGGGGGAAAAATATTTATCAGCCTCTGTCATAATTCACAGTTCCCTCTGCACCAATTATTACTCAAAGTCCACTTATTTGTTAACAACTTCAACAGAACTTTTGAAATACTGTCATTCAAAGCTGCTTTAATCTAAAAACAAAAAGCCACTCTGCAGAATGACAGGATGAACCAGCATCATCTCAGACTTACAGCTGCCTGGTCTCCCAGGGGGCCGTGGCTTTGGGGAGGACTCGCTGCAGGCTGCCTCCCCTTCCACTGGGAAGCCAAAAATCTGTTCCAGTTCCTTAGCATCAGGTGGTGGAATAGGGAAGCGTCCAATGGCCATTTCAACCAGAGACAGACCCATACTCCAGATGTCCGACTGAACAGAGTAATGGGTGCCCTGTAAACGCTCCGGCTGCAAAATACATGCAGTTATATCACCGACAGAACCATTACTTGTTTGTACAATTATTAAAATGTTGCAGTGATAATACAGCATCACAAAACACTGAGTCACAGTCACTACGTCCAGCATACAGCATGTTTCATTTTCATTCCACTGCAATGACACAGTGGAATTCTTAGGCATTTATCAGGCTATAACTTATGACAGTCAATAAACTAGACCAGTGGTCCTCAACTACGGGTCTGGGGACCCCCAGGGGTCCTTGACAGAGTGCCAGGGGGTCTCCAAAAAAATAAGGAATACTGTATTTTCACTATAGATGAAATCACTGTGATGTCACACTAACAACTCCAGGTAAACAATTGGCAATTGTTGTGAATCGTGGAGGTACAGTATGTGACATCAGCTGTTCCTGTTATTTTCAGCTGTAACTAATGTTTAAAAATGTAAAGTTAAACACAGTGGTTCGAGCCCGAGACATTTCTGCTGCTCTTCTGCTGTGTTGCTCTTCTAGCCTCTTTGATAAAACCGATTCTACCAGCCCTGAAGCTAAGCAATATACTGCTGTGGACGTGTGCTGCAGCAAGATGTGTTTTACCCATTCAAAAAAAATCTGCATTAGTGAATGCTATATTTTGAATATTTTTCACAGCTTTACATTACACACTAACTGATCAAGGCAGTGGTAGACCAGCAACTCCCTTGTTCTAAAACAGGAGTGTCAAACATACGGCCCACTGGATGACATTGCACACCTAATAGCAACACACAAGTAAGGCAAAGAGGTGCTAGGTTTTAGGAGCAAGTTAAACAGTGAGTAGCTTTCTTCATGTAAAATGCTGCATCAGAGGCTTTTCCACCCTGACCAGAATACAGTTCTTTTCTTTCACTTTAGCTTGGTGTAGTGATGTCAAGATTACTACACAGGAGTGGGAATGCATAGAAAAATGCACATTTAATGACAGCGAGTAGTTGGCTGACTCTATGTGGAAAAACTGAGAATTGTTAAAATTTAATCTATTCTTCTGAAGACATCACAGGCTTTTTGTTATATGATCTGTAAATGAATGAGCATTTTTAAAATGAAATTCTTTAAACAAAAAAAAGGGAAAAATTTAGAGGTGTTTTGAATTTACAGGATATTATGCCATGGTTTTACTGGTTACTACACCTGCGATCGAATCGGACTGTATGTGGCCCATGAACTTAAATAAGTTTGACAACCCCTGTTCTAAAAGGAATGTTTTTGTCAATGGAGTCTGGTGGCACCATTTCATTTAATGTACGTGACCCAGGGGTTTTCTACCTGGAAGTTACTGTACACAAACACTGTGATTCAGTCTATTTAATTCACTATAGAAGTGAGCCAAGTGATCATAAGAGTGACTGTTGTGTGATCATAGGATTCACTTCCTCCTCGGTTATCTCCTTAAATGTATTTGACAACTATAGATTTCTGGTTTTAACCATATCTAACAACCAAAATCTTTCCAGTTGGAGGTCCGTGAAGTGAAATCTTTTCAGATGGGAGTCCCTGCACGATGATTTAGTCCAGCTTACTTGTTATCAGTGTTCAAATCCAAATCACTCAGGACATGTCCCAGTAAGAGTTTAAGTAACCAGTTTTAGTCACATGATGCTAGCATGCTAAGGCAAATTGATATAAAAATAATTTACATCCATCACATCAATTAATACAAATGACTGTAAGTTTAGAAATTTAATTAGTATTTGATCAAGTAATATCAAATTAAAGCTCTGCATTACATCATCCCATCAGTGGTATGAATTACACAAATTGCATAACCTACGTCTACATGTGGGTCTACTCTGAACACAGCTGATGCTTAAAAGACATGAAGCCCTATTTATAGAGCCAGTCCCAGTTGATTTGTGACTCATCAAAACTGGGAATACAGTCTAAACTGGGGACTCTGGTTGCCTTACACACATAAATCTGAGATTCTCTTCAGGAATCGTAAAAGCTAATGTGTGAGCGAGAGCAGAAGGAGAGGAGGAGTGTGTCCATTTTAACTCACAGACATGTAGGAGCGAGTGCCCACAAAGGAGTTGGCCATGGAGTCTATGAGCTGCCCGCTCACTCCAAAGTCGCACAGCTTGATCTCACCGCGGGAATTCACTAGGATGTTAGAAGGCTTGACATCTGAGAGAGGGACATGCAGTATATTTAGGAGAACATGGTGGGCAAGTGTTCAACAGGGAACAGAGAGCAACACAGAGCAAACTGCTGCAAAGGCTCTCAGTGCATGTTGTGCAATGTGTGCTTATGTGTTGTCTTTCATCATTCATATGTATGACACTGAATGCAACAAAGATGCAGCTGATGCATCTAAAATAGGAAATTACTGTAAGGTACAGATCAATACTCTCCCTCAAGTTATTTAAAGCTCAGTCTTCATTCATAAATGTAAAGGGTTTGTGAAACCTTTTCATATTGGTGAATAAAATAGTGACTGACCTCTGTGCATGATCTTGTGTTTCTCCCTCAGGTAGGAGAGTCCTTTAATGACCTGGAAAAACAAATATTTCACATCAGCGTGGTAACAATTCTGATTATTTTAGCACATACTGTATGCATCAGTGATGGTCAGAAATATAGCTGTATGACGACCAGAGCATGAAAGTGGTGGGAGAGGTGTTGGAGCTACGCACAGCGATGCTGACTTTGCCAAGGATCTGCTCGGGGATCTTGCCTGCCTTTTTCAGCGACTGGTCCAGGGAGCCACCATCCTATAACCAGCACGGAAGGCAAAAATATGAAACTGAAATTGAAAACACCATTTATGAAATGCAACACATTGAAACAAAGTCATTCTTTCAACACTAATGAGGTTGTACATGAGAGGGAAGACATGCCAGACATCCACAGCACAGTCTGTAAAGCAGCACTCAGAGTCAATGCTGTATAAACAACACACTGGCAGCCAGAACTTATTAAAGATAAGTACCATATGCTCCATGCAGATGCTGATTTCTCCATCGCTGTAGAAAGCTCCATAGAAGCCCACAATGTAGGGGGAGTTACACTCGTGCAGCACCTGCAGCTCCCTAATGATCTGGTTCCTAATGGCTGGTTTGATCTCCAGGTGGATAAGCTGGAACATGGCAGACATCAGGTTTTATTATGTGTCCTCGTATCACACAGAACAGAAATAACAGGAAATTAAAGGGACAGTTCACCCTCAAATCAAACATACATATTTTTCTTCTTACCTGTAGTGCTATTTATCAGCCTGCATTATTTTGGTGTGAGCTGCCAAGTGTTGGAGATATCGGCTGTAGAGACGTGTGCCTTTTCTCCAATATAATGGAACTAGATGGCACTCTGCATGTGTGGCTCAAAGTGCCAAAAAATACATTTGAAAAACTCAACAGCAATGTCCCTTCCAAGAAATCATGACCCAGTTACCAATGATAATCCACAGATCTTGTTGTGAGCAGTTTCATGTAGGAACTATTTTCTTTCTACTGAACTAAACAGCGGGTGTGTTGAAAGAAGCACCACTGAGCTAGCTAACATTACAGCTCAGTCAAGCTCTGCCACTAATGCCTACATTTTACGCTGTCATGAGCACATGCCTCTCGTCAGTGAGTAGTGTGCAGCGATGCGGTTGGTAGGTGTAGCTCAGTGGAAAGAAAATAATTGCTACATGAAACTGCTCACAACAAGGTCTGTGGATTATCTTGAGTAACCAGATCGTGATTTCTGGAAAGAGACATTGCTGTTGAGTTGTTCAGAGGTATTTCTTTGGCACTTTGAGAACCACAAGCTGAGTGCCATCTGGTTCCATTATATTGGAGAGAAGGCAGACATCTCTACAGCCGATATCTCCAACACTTAGCAACTCACACCAAAACAATCTGAACTGAAGAAAAATATGTATATTTGATTTTGGGCTGAACTGTCCCTTTAAATCTTCCTTTTGTACATTTGTGCACACACAGGAACATCATTTACGATACAAGTTTTAATATAGATGCATATTTTTTTTAGTATTTCAATTTTTTCTGTCAAGTGTGAATAACATACAGTGGCTCTTGAATGTTGTGACAGTTGTCCCACTAACCCACTTGTTCATGTGGTTCACAAAATACAGGAAAATGAGAAACAAATTTGACTCCACAGTCTTTCAAAACAGCGATGATGCCTGGAAAAATCTATTTCTGTCAGTCATATACAAAGGAAGAAAACTGTTTATTGTATATTATGTATTGTTAAGGCTGAGTGGCATCCTGAAAGTAAAAGTAGCTTTTTTTTCACAGCCTCTTCACCACAGTGCTTCCGATAGGCCACTGCTTACCTTCCTCGCCATAATCAGACCAGAGGGCCGGTGAGAGACCTTGAAGACAACTCCTCCGTTACCAGCGCCCAGCTCACAGATCTTTTCAAAGTCATCGTCCTTCAGCTCTCCCACCTTCTGCTTCTGTGTCAGGAAGGCCTCCAGGCGCTTCCGCTGCTGCTCATCCAACTCAAGCTCCTCTAGTTTCTTCTGCAGTGCCTCCAAATTTGTTCTACGAGAGAAGATGAAGAGTAACAGAGACAAAGATGAGTAAGTCATGTATTATTAATGTATTCCTTCCTAAATGCAAAGGTCGTTGAGTCCACTCAGACTGAACTCATGCAGTCCGGCTGTCCCCCCTGGGAGATGTGAGACAATCTAAGGTGCATCCAGATCTACTGTATTATATTACTGAAAGCTTGGAGAAAAGACAGAGCTTGGTGTGTGACAACTGCTTCTCGTGCATACAACAACAACAACTGACCAAAGAGCCGACAGGAAGACAGACAGGGTCACAGGGTGTGTTTTGGTGTTCCTTCCCAGATCTGTGTGTGAGGAAGCTCCAAGTTCCTCTGAGCGCTGACGCCATTCTCCTGGCGCTGTTGTCATGGCGATGCATTTCCTTGAGAAATCAATCGCGGAGTGAACTCTTTTGACATGCTGCTCTTTGACCTCTCCTTCCCCTCCCGCTCCACTGTCTCCAAACACTGCAACACAAAGTCTGTCTAAGCTTTTATCATTAGCTTGATAAGAAGGTAGAGACCAATGAGTCCTCAAGGCACCAATGAGCATTAAATAAATAAAAAAAATAAAATAAAAATAAAACAAAAGCATGCCAGATTTGATGGTAAAGACGTTTTACATGCTTGCAAGTGTACAAGCCTCTGTAAGGTGCTCCAATTAAAAAAACATCATTAGTTTAAGTGCTAGTCTTTCATATTTGCCTGCTTATCTGATCATAATAAAATGGTTTTCTTTAAGCTAAGTGGTAATTGTGCTTCTTAAAAAAAATCTTCGTACCTAATCACAACTCAGTGGAGAGCAAGTAGAGCAGGGCAGCGAGCTCTTCTCTCCACTGCTCCACCACACAGCAAAGAGAGGGTTAAGTGGTTTTATTTTTGACAGTGGGCCTGCATATCCATGGAGACGAGGTGCTGAGTTTGAGTTGGTTGTGGGTAGCGTGGGCGTCTTGTCGACAAGAGCTGGAGGTGGAGGAGGCTGGAGATACTGAGAAGAGGAGCAGCCTGAAACACACTCCACAATACGTATGTGGGAGGGACCACGGCAGCTGCACACTGCAGCCCCCCCCCCACCTTCCTGGGTGCAGGAGGCAGTGAGCACGATGCCGGCCTTTTGTGCTCATCCACACAATGTCCAAGGACATCTAGTAGAACTTGAATGCAAAAGATGAAATATTTCTACAGCTTGCCATCAAGCCCCAGAAAGAGGATGGCATTGCTGTTTTTCCTTGTGACTTTGGCTGCAAAAGTGTTCGCATACTTTACATAACATGAATCACAGAGGATGGAAAGCGGTTCAAGGGAAACAGATCATCATAACATCCTTGCTTTTTCAATACAGAGGAGCTTTGTTTGAAATTTTCCCAGTACTGACTTCCATCATAAAACCTAAGTTTAACTCAGGCAAAATGCACATATGCATGCACATATGCAGTATAGACTGATGTATCAGAAGGAAGGCGTGATTGTAGTTTGAAAAGATTTTTATTGTGCAAGAAAACTAAACCGTGTATTATTGCTTTTGCAAGTAAATAAGAACCAACAAGTGGTATCTAACTAATGAAGAATCAACACTACAAACTATGGTGAGCTACGCTGTATGAGTTAATCATTAATCTTCTTTTCACACATTCACATTCACACTGTGTCAATATGAAAAAAAAATCATTACCAAGTTTTCTAACAGCCTCTACAAAAGAATGAACAGCAACACTTCTGAATAACTAGGCAGAAAATATTCCCTGTACAACACAGGCGTGCTCTGTAAGTCTGGATGTATCTGACGGTAGCATATTATCCAAAATTTTAGCAACTAGCAAATTCTATCCAGAACAGGTTGTTTTTATTTGTTCTCAGATCTCCTCTGATAATATTACATGCTTGGCTGGCATTATGTGGGCCACTCAGTACAGTTCTCCCATGGCTGCCAGCCATTTCATGCTGAGAAAGCATTTCGCGGGCTGTAATGGCAATTCCTTTTCACCAGAGCGGTACGGTCTGGTTTCAATAAGAGAGATGATCGATTGCATTAAGATCATCTGCACCCAATATGCAACACCTGTGCTGCTGGTAGGGGCATCAGATCCTCCTGTGTGGGGTCCAAATTACCTAAAATAATGTGATAATTCATGTGTGTCTGTTCTGAAACATGAGCATTGTCTCTCCTCTCTATTCAAAACAACTGCTGTGTTTTCAGCTATAATACTGACACTGTATTATGACACTAGATGTCATCTGGAATTATTGATTTAAAATTTTCATAGAGCACAGGCTTATTATCTTACAACACACCCTGACATGTCAGTTGAAAAAACTGTACATGCTGCTGTCACACTGCTATCACACACGGCTTACTGGAACACTTAAGCAGAACAGAACATCATTAATGTAATTAGTAACACCTGTGCTATTCCTATAATGACAAATCCAAATGTCTGCTTTGACAAAATGCCTAGTGGGCGGAGCTATGCTGAGGATCACATGACATTATTAAACTCAGTATACCAATAAGAATTAGAGTGGTGTAAGCTGAGAAGAGGTACCATCAGCCAAAATATGAAACACCTGTGGCAGTGAAGCATGGTCTTATAACTGTTTGCAAAATGGTCACCTAGTAAAACTTCTGACACTATTCAACCCTTTGAAAGCTGAGCAAATTGGCTTTATTTCTTGTGACAACATGGGAAGAGGACAACGAGCAACGAAAGAAGAAATTACACAAAAAATTAGCAAGAAATTAGTAAAAAAAAAAAAAAAAAGAAAGAAAATTAAAACAAGAAAATTTGTAAAAAAAAAAAAAAAGAATGAAAGAAAGAAAGTAAATAATAATTATAAAAAGAAATATTATAAAAATAATAATAATAAAAAAAATTACCTGGATAGAACTTAAAAAATATAATAATTCTGTAACATAATTTTGAAATATAATAATAATAATAATAGTTCAAAATATAGGTTTCCCTAGCTTATTTCTTTTTCCCCTAGTTTATTTTTTCCAATGATTTTCTAAATCTATCGTTTTTTGCAATTGATGCATTTTGCAGTTTTCTTGCTTTGTTGCTAATATTTATAGAATTGGAGCATTTCTATGATCTGATAATTTATTTATAATAATTATTTATATTTATTGCTGTTTGGTACTTCACAAATATAGCAAGTACAAATAGTGCAGAGGAGGATGGGAGGAGCTCGGAGCTGCATACATTGTTCTCTGAGATTCTTTAAGAATATTTAAAGCTTATTTAGAAGATAATTGTAAGTATGTGACTATTTACAAAAAAAGGGGAGAAGAAAATGAGAAGAAGAGAAAAACAAATGGAGGAAAGCAAAAAAAGAAGTGAAGAATAAAGTGAGGAAGAAGAGGAGAGCAGAACAAACTTAGCCTCACTGTTGGCCTACTTTGTGGTTTGGAGGGTAGATTGGTTAGTCTATTATTTTATGTATTCAGAGAACAGTGTTTTTACAATTTTGTGTTAAGACGTGTTGATTGTGAATGGTTATTGTTTTATAGATCACTAAAGAGTGCACAAATGTGGCACTGTTTTCTTTGTCGTTGCCTTCTATAAATAAATGATACATATATGTGAAGATGCTGCTCGTGCATACAGTAAAGATACTGTGTCACCTTTAAAATGAGCTAGATAGACATTTTCCTCGCTCATTACTGTGCATAAATGTACTGTATGTTCTTTGGCCTCAAGAACTGTTCTGGTGCCAGCGACACACAGAAACCTCCTGGCAGGGTGCACTTTGCGAGCTTCTTGCATGCGTGCAGCACTTCCCTTTTTTCCACTTTAGCATGTGCCCCACAAAATGTCTGTGCACGGCACTGGGTAGCCTCAAACACACACCCATCCTATTATACCACATGTGGAGCAAAGAAGCCTGGTCCTTTAAATCCAGTCTTCCCCTCCACTGGTCTGCAAATGTATGGCAAAGCTCCAGCTCTCCACAAACAAATCACCCTTACACCTTTTGGTTTCTTAAAGCCTGTGCAGAGCTAAAATTAGGAAATCAGGAACTTTGGTTGTGATATTTGCCCTGTTTACATTTACACTTCTAGAACTGGCCATGCATCGGCCCACTTCTCCTTCATACCTACAAGTTCAGATGCCCATTGGTTAGAGGGTGTATTTAATTCCTTTGGCAGCTGATATGCAACGTACAGTTTAATCACTAGATAAATACAATTTATCTTGCAATGTATTTACAAATCTTACCCCTCCTCCTTTTTCGTGTGGGTGTGCAGGAGTTTGGTTTTATGCAGTGTTAAGGAGCAAAATGTGTGCCGACTGTGACGGACAACTGTGTGCCCGCAGACCCGTCATCTACCATCACTGGCCTGAAACGGGATTTGCTTTCCCTCAGAGCCCCAGACAGCTGAACGTGTAGACCTAGATGTCTTTTTATGGAAAAGAGGTCAGGAGTGACACCAGGCTGCATGGCTTTCTGTCAGCAGTGTGTCAGTCTGAATGTCACAGTGGCACAATACAGCAGTATTACCAGACACACACGGACACACAGACACTGCGAGTTCGCTCCACAGCAGAGACTTCCAAATATCTGATTCAGAGTTCCTGATTGTTGCTTTATCCCGACATGCTGCTCCTCTGCCAGCCAAACATTACATCATCATCGGCAAACAAAGCCAAGGCACAACTCCCCCCCTCTGTGTTTGTTCTTGCTTCTTAAATGTGAGAATTTACTGCTTGTCTTTGTCTTGAACAATAAACTGCAGGTCTTTGTGTTTAGGTTGGACAAAAAAAGCAATTTGAGGACGTAGTTTTCTTTATAAATGGATGTTCACAGTGTTTTCTGACATTACAAACATTTAATCAATCAATCCAGACATCTATTGGCAGATAAACTGCAGCCCTGTGAATATTCACTGAAATGCTGGGCTGTTGAAATTTACACTTAAATGTTTAATGCTAAATTATATTCAGATTTAATACAGGATTTGATTTTAGTCCATCACTTTTTAAGTAATTCATCGCAAAAGACACACATGTCCTCCAGATGTGCGATCCAATGATAAAACAATGAAATATTACACCTCTGCAACACATTAGAAAACCAGCCATCACGAGGGATGACATGTTATGTAATTCTCATCCCAACTGATGCAGCTTGTTGCTGGACTGGCTGGGCTCTTCTCTGTGCACTGAGAACTGGAGCATGTTGTCACAACAGTTTAATATCTCCATTACCGTGGTAGGAGCAGGCCTACATAAAACTTCTTCGACGCACAGAAATATTATTCCACACGGTGCGTCCCTGCAAAGGTCAATCTCTGACTAATCACTGTCCACACAAAGTGGGCTGTTAGAGTTATGGAGCGACCTGCTCATCCGTGACACCACCAAGAGAACACCCGAAGACCCGAGCTGCGCGTTAGAGACCTTTCTTCAAGGCAGACAAACAGGTGATACAAAAAATCGTTAATGATGGCTCAGATCCATCAAGTGTCCCTGTAAGCAAAGCCAGTGAGTGGATATTAGGAGCCTGGAGCTAGCTCACTGTCTTCAGTGAGAAAGGTCAATGATGTTTACTTTTTCTCTGCTGAGGAGCGATGTAGCATGATCAATCCATGAAAGCAAATCACAACAGAGCTTGTTAATTGGAGTTTTGAACATGGGAGCAGTTGCAATATTTATTGTAAACTAGTGTAGGAAACAATTAGATTATCAAACAGAGAATTAATCAACCAAAACTAGGTAACTAGTATAATAAATGCTAAATCATTTCAGCCATGTATCAAACATAACTACTTAGTGTTTTGGACAATTATACTGACTTAAAATTGTGTTTGAAGATGTCAACTTGAGCTCAGGTTTTTCTTTTACTATTTTCTTACATTATATTGTCTAGACGATTAATTTAAAAAATGACTGATGGATCGATAATGAAAATGGTCATTTGTTGCACCACAAGACAGGCGAAGATCTCACCTCAGGTTCTGTGAACTTACTGAAATAATCAATTTGTTCATTTCACTGAAAACATCTCAATATATACAACACTGACAGCAGTATTCAAGGACATATTATGAATGTCCTTGAATATATATCATTCAAGGACACTGACAGCAATATTTACCTACATTCGGTGCACTATTACTTAATACAGGGGTATTAAACATACGGCCCGTGGGCCAGAATTGGTCTACCAAAGGGTCTGATCCGGCTCACTAGATGACTAGACTAAAGTGCAACACACACCGCCGCCGGCGCGGCGCTGTGGCCATCAAGTGCCGCGCCCCAACACACACTGGCAGTGGCGTGCAGCGGCACCGTCGATGTGTATTTCCCACCCCAGCCCGCTAGGTGGCTGTACCTACACTAGTTGCCAACGGTTGTCAACTGCTAGTAACAGAAGAAGAAGAGGAAAAACTTTGAGGCAACAACAACTTGAATTTCACGGGTGAGTTTCTTATCAAAGTCGTCTTATTAAAAATTTGAAACAACTGGAGTTGATCCTACGAGATGAGATGTACATAAAAGGCTTTTCTCGCAGCGCCGCCATGAGCGCCGGCCACGCTGGAAATAGAGCAGTGGGCTGAAGCAGAGCGTCGCGGTGCGTCAGCTGGTGCCAGTGTGGGTTGGTTCATAGAATATAATGGAGGCGGGCGTTTTGACGCGCGGCGTACGGCGGCGGTGTGTGTTGCACTTAAGAGGTGCCAGGTTTCAGGAGCAAGTTAAACAATGCGTTGCTTACTTCATGTAAAATCCTGCTTCAGAAGCTTTTCCACCCTGACCTGGATACAGCTCTCTGATATAACAATGAATACTTACTGTGACCATGTTAAGAGATATTGAACATTGTGCAAAATTTGTCAATCAGCAGCTTCAGTTCAGAAGAATCTGTATCAGGAAATGTGTGGATAAATGCACATGTAATGACAGTGAGAAGTAGACTGACTGAATTTGGAGATATACTGTTGAAATTGCTCTTATTTTTCTTGAGACATCTCAGGCTGTTCATCTGTTTTGTGAAATGATGAACATCTACAGAATGTACTTGCAATTCTTTACCACAAAAAAAGGGTAAATATTGGAGCTGATGGTACCTTTAGGTTATTGTGCGATGGTTTTACTGGTCCGGCCCACTTGAGATCAACTTTGGTTGTATGTGGCCCATGAACTAAAATGAGTTTGACACCCCTGACCTAATATGATGCACATTACCACTTTTCACGGTCACTTGTCAGTACAGTGCAATATTATTCTCTCAGTCATGTGCAACACTTACTTCTCATTGTTATATCATATTCAATATGAACAGTCTGTTTTTTTTCCACCATTTTAGCTCATTTTTGTACTTAATGTACTCCTATTGTTACTCTAGTAGGCACTGGATTCCGGTTTTGCTCTTGGAAAACACTTCAATCTTGTACGTTTGTATATTTTGCCAGATATTTATTACTCTCGTCATGTGGGAACCCACTCGTTGACTGGTTGTGACTCGTTAAAATTGTGGTTACTGTATTTAGTGTTACTGTAATTTGAAGCATTCTGTGGTACAATAATTTCCTTTGGGGTAGATAAAGTTATATTGAATTGAATATGAATTGATGATGATGATGATGATGATGATAATAATAATAATAAAGATGATCATTGGTTGCAGCTCTAGTGTAATCTCAGTGAGCTCACACACACACACACACACACACACACACACACACACAGTGCAGAGTCTTATATTAGACACCTAAGACAGAAGTTTACACACACACTGTAAAGGGGATCTTCAGGTATCTATACGTTGCATCTGTCAGGAGCCCTTATAGCATATGAACATGAATCTAACATAACTGATCAATCAGTGGCCCATTATCAATAACCCTCATATAACACTGTGAATATCAGTAGTAGATGGATATTGACACTCACTCTGTGGCTCCGGTGCCGTTGATAGTGTTTCCATCGGGGATCGGGTTGAGTTGGATCGGCTCTGGCTTCCTTCTCTTCTGCATGTTCCACACAACAAACAGGCTGCTGCTGTAGAAACACACGGGCTGGCTGCAGGAATATGGCAGGAAACCCCGAAGAAGAAGAACAGAGCTGGGGTTTCAGAGAGGCGCTGACAGGCTGCTCGACACACACTGACAGGAGAAGACACAGCTGTGCAGTCATGAGCTGGAGGGGCTGATGTTCTTCTTAATGGGTGGATGTGAATGATCCGGGAGATGAGACGTCACAAAAATATTTACATTCGTCTTCCGGACAGCATGGCTGTGCTTGGGACAGCGCTCCCTCTGCTGGTGATGGGTGATGTTACAACAGTGGAGGAAAAACATTCAGATATTTCAGCAGTGGTACCCATGGGCGGATTAGGAGACAGTTGGTCCCTGGGCACAGATATGCAAAAGGCCCCACCACGTCCCCTACACAGGAGCAAGGCACACAGATTTAGAGTAGTTTGGCCTCTTCTTTGTTGTTGTTTTGCATCTGTCTTTAGTCCTAATGCACCCTTTTGTGTGTCTTTAGGGTTATTTTGTGTCTTTTGTTGTCATTTTCTATCTCTTTGTGGTTGGTTGCCAGTGTCAAGGCCAGTATAACACCCTCCTCCTCCTCCCTTCCTGATCCTCCCAAACAACAGTCAATTATTGACAATTTCTCACCTGTCTCCTTACAAGACTTAGCAGATGTTGTGTGCACTATGAAGTCCACTGGATATCCTGCCCACAACTTGTTTTGGAAGGTGAAAAATGTTTTCAGCACTATTGGTCCATCTCTGCTCTCCATAATCAATAGCTCACTGGTTTCTGGTCGTGTTCCGTCCCATTTCAAGCAAGCGGTTGTTCAGCCGCTTCTCAAAAAGCCCAATCTGGACCCTGATGTTCTTAGTAACTACCGGCCCATTTCCAAGCTGCCCTTTGTATCTAAGGTTCTAGAAAAAGCAGTTGCAAACCAGTTAGTGACAGCGTTGAGCAGTTACAATATCTTAGATAAATTTCAGTCCGGTTATCGTCAGTTACATTCCACAGAAACTGCTCTTCTCAGGGTCTCCAATGACATCATGATGGCCTCCGATGCCGGTAAATCCACTATCCTGGTTCTGCTTGATCTCAGTGCAGCCTTTGACACTGTTGATCACCACATCCTTTTAGACAGGCTGAGGGACAGGGTAGGAATCTCAGGGACCTCTCTTCATTGGTTTAAATCCTATCTGTCTGATCGATCCTTTTCTGTGGCTGTTATACTGCTATACATGCTCCCTCTCAGAGATGTCATCAGCAATTTTGAAGGTATCTCATACCATATGTATGCAGATGACCTCCAGTTATATTTTTCTTTTAACCCTGATAGGACCAATGGAATTGACTCACTGTACGATTGTATCAATGTAATTAAGGACTGGATGTCTTCTAACTCCCTTCAGTTGAACGCAGCTAAAACTAAGATTTTAATTATTGCACCTGATGCCTCAGCATCTAAAGTGGCCAGCTGCTTAGGGTCCCTCAGTGCAAATGTGACCCCAAGTTGAAAAACCTTGGAACCATGATGACCACATCAAAACTGTCACTCGCTCCTGCTTTTTCCACCTCAAAAACATTTCCAAACTCAGATCCATGTTAACTTATTCCGAGCTAGAAATGATCATCCATGCTTCTATTTCCTCACGTCTGGATTACTGTAATTCTCTTTTCACCTGTCTAAATAAAACTTCATTAGACCGCCTCCAGCTGGTCCAGAACGCTGCCGCCAGGCTTCTGTCCAGATCTCATAAGTTCACTCACATCACTCCAGTCCAGGCATCCCTGCACTGGCTCCCTGTTTGCAATCCATGTACTGTTATAACACCAGTAACATGTTTGTATGCCAACATGAACCTATTTGTAACCATGGAATTAGTACTATTAGCAGTACTAATCTTATTTCCATGTATTTATTCTACATATTTACCATTACTGTACTTCTCATCACATCTCATAGAAAGGGTGGGAAATCATGCTAATACATTTTTTTAATCAAATATATAATGAAATAACATTAAATATATGGTATTAACAAGAGAGACTATTCATCCTTTTTTTAAATAAAAAAGTAAATTTATTATCCAAGCATCACTGCCTTTACCATAAAATGATAATTGTCCAGTTGAACATGGTTTTAGATAGTAAAAAATCCTACTTAAGAAATTACGCTGTGATGAGTGTAGGGCTTTTACCCAGTCTTGAACATTTTTCAACTTGGTGCTCAGAAACACCCCCTCCAAAAAAAACCACCCAACCAGCAGTACCCTGTGCAGAATTCATGTCCAGCACCTCATCGCACTGCCTGTGTTTGTAGTGCAGTATAAGTCACGACACTTCTGTTGCAAAGCATCAAAAAATTTAAAAAACACTTTGGTGAACATGGCCCCAAATGGCAATAATTGTTTTATTACAAACCCACTGTTTAAAAGAATCAGAGAAGAGCTGGGTAATGAAAGTATTCTTACCGCAGTCTCAAGTGATTTACTCCAGGCATGACGCTGTATGTGACCTCTGACTCCAATTCTGAACATTTTGGTACCAACATTTTTGAACAGCACCCTCTAGAGAGTGAAATCTAATGAATGTGACAACCAACCCTGTTCTCCCCTACAACAAAAGCCATTACCTGTATAATCCAGTGCAGTTACACAAGAGATGAGATGCAAGTTTGGCTGTTGTGCCACAGAGTCTAACAATGAGAAAACCAGGCAGCATAAATAAAACGTGTAAAATATGACACATTTCTCATAAAATAAACCATTCTTATTCAGGAGCTCTTGTCCCACCATTATCTTCCTTTAAATATTTAATTACCCAAAATGCAGCATAACAATGATGCACTTGGACCTTCTAATAATCTCCATGCTAAAATGTATAATTTCAATTATCCTGTTTCGGGTAATTCACTGACTTACCAGATGTAAGCACAAAATATATTCAAATCAAGAGCCAAAAAGAGTGTACCAGCAAAATAAAAATGAATGACATGCAAATGTTACTTTCAAGCAGGTTGTGTCATTATTATGCAAATAGTGTCAATGCTTTTAATGCAGACTCTTCGAACACATTTGTAAGGCACTTCATTTAATGTAATTAATTTCTGATCAGGATGGAATACATTTATGATCAGTGGACATTAAACAAACATATTTTAAGTCTTCATTTTTAACAAAACAATGTAAAAGCTACCTATTCAAGAACTGTATTGGGTAAACCTTTTATGAAGACAATGGGAATGAAGGGGTGAGAGCCCTTTGTCTTCTGAAGACAACGAGCCTTCCTCCACATGGAAGAATCTCAGAAAGAGGAGAATAAAGGTGAAACATTGGTCACCTGAAGAAAGCATCTCTCTTGAATCCTGTGACCTGGAACTCAAGAGGTCTCCTTCTCTAGGAAAGACTGGCCTTTCTATGTTTGAGGAGTCACAACAGAGTAGTAAAAGATCTCCCTCTATTCAGGGCAAGGACAGGGAAAGACAGGAGGCTCTAAAGTAGGAAAACAGGAGCAGGAGATGAAAGAGAGGAAAAGAAGAGTCCAACAAATTATCAAAGACTGGGACAGGGAAGAGGAGGAGAGGAAGCAGGAGAGGATTAGAGGGAAGGAGGAATATTTCTTAGTGTGGCAAGGGAGAAAGGAGGAGAGAGAAAGACTGGAAAGGGAGCAGAAAGGGAAACATGAGAGGGTGGAAATGGAGGAAAAAGACAGGGGAAGGAGAAGAAAGAGGAAAAAGACAGGAGAAAGAGAAAAAGGAAAGGAGAACAAGGAGATCAACGAATGAGAGAATTCAGAGGAGAGGACAAATGTTGGTCTGCTTTCAAGTCTAAACAATTTGTGGCTGAATGCCCGGACAGACAGTGTCAACGGGGACATCAAAATGAACGTTCAGCAGGAGCACCGCCTCTGACGCAGAGGTAAGAAAGTCAACTGACATTCTTTCAAAGCAAATGTCATAAAAATTTACATCGCCTCATTTAGATACACACTCACGTTTAACCAGTAGAGGCATTCAGATTCTTTACCCCAGTAAAAGTACCAATACCACAATGTAAAAATACTCCATTACAGGTCAAAGTCCAGCATTTAAAGTCCTACTAAGATAAAATTATCATCAGCTAAATGACTGACGTATTGTATGATAATATAGGATATGATCAATACGGATGCATCAATGTAAAGCAGCATTTCACTGTTGTAGTTGGGTTTAACTATTTTATATACACTTAGGTATTATAGTCCCCTGGGCCCCTCCAGAGACAGTGTTTTATAATGTAAGATTTCAACCCGAAGAGTGATTCAGCAGCACAAAGAGTAACTCCCCCTGAAACCACAAATCGTTGTTTTTAAATTTCTGTTCCTGCACAAATAAAACAAACAAGATTCAACGTGTTAATTAGTGAACTTCAGAGGTGTTGTTATTTGGTATTGGTGTTTTTGAACTTTGGAGAGAGCCAGGTTAGCTGCTTCCAGTCCTTATGCCAAGCCAAGCTAATTGCTGTCTGAATCCAGCTGCATACTTCACACACTTCAATCTTAAAATGAAACTTTTTGAGGGAAAGCAAATAAGCATATTTCCCAAAATGCCCAACCATTTATTTGAATATATATGCATGTGTTGTTGTTGTTTTTTAATTTTCAATATGTTTGAGTTCAAAATGGGTCCATTTATGGATCATTTACTCAGTGTACTGAGCTAATCAACAGTGTGGGAACATTTTTAGTTTAATGAAGGCATCGGTGAGAATACTTTCTATTTCTGTGGGCATATAAATACCTTCTATGACCGAAATAATCATCATTAAGAATTAAGTGATACTACTTAGTTAAGTTCAAAGATAGGTGATTAACCTATTAATCACACTTTGTGATGTGGCACCAGGCCAACATGTCCTCTGTAACAACTCACAGCACACTAACAAATGATACAAATGGGGTCTGTTGACTCTTTCCTGTTGGAAGGTGTACAGGTGGGGTGCAACTGGGCTGCTCCACAGAAGGAGGGGCTGGCAACTAGAAGAGAAGGTGAAGAGGGCAGAGGAGAAGCAAAGACAGAAGAGAGAAAATAGAGAGGAAGGAAAAAAAGATGATGGAGAAGATGGAGGATGGGTCTGAGGAACGCTGCAACCTAAACCCCCTAGACGGAGAGGAAGGAGGAAGGAGAGCGATCAGAAAAATGGGACCAAAAAGGGGGAGGTAATTCCTCCTTCCTTCCTCCAGTGCTGGTGTCCA